AATATTTAGAAAAATAGAAAAATAATTTAATATGACAAAAAGTCATGCTTGAAATCTGTGCCATAATAAATTACGCTAACTTTTTATCTGTTAAAGAATAAACAATTTAATTATGCTATTAAAATTTGAATTTCCAAAAAACATTAACTCATTTTTCTCTTTAATTCACGTCAGTAAAAAAGTAAAAATGCAGCCTTTTATTAAATACGACAACATCAAATGTTTTCCTAGCGATTACATCGTCCTGCAAATATCGAAAAATACCAATGGCAAAAAAATAGAAACAATAATAGTAACTTTATTTTGCTTTGGACAGCTTTTTTCTCCAGTTTGAACCCTTTACTGCTAGAAAGATCTCGAAAAAAATAGTTTAATAACAATTTATTTAATTTTTATTTTGCCATTTTCTAACAAAATAGCCAAATAATCATAAATAAGATGGTATTCAAACTGCTAACTGTGAGAAAAACCATTTATTAGCTGCTTTCACCTAAATTTGTTAAACAACCAGAATTTTATCAGGCCAACTAGACCAACCTAATGTAAGTAGTTTACAGAGGGGCAGATATTATAGCCGAGAGGGTTAATCTGTCAATGACTCATGATCGACAAAACGGGGGTTCGAGTTCCAGATCTGACACAATATTTCCTGCGATATATGAAGAGTTTCCAGTGTCCTGCACTCCTCAATTTGTGACCCTGGACTATTAGAATACGCTACTCTCACTCATGCATGGATGCAGCATCATAAATCTCCTGCACCATCTTTAATATCCAGATAAATTTCTTTTTACGGTTTTGGAACCATACTAGTTGTAAATGGTTAAAAGAAAAGTGAAGGTAAAAAATGTTCTTTACCGCGATCTTCACGGTAAATTTGAGGGACAGGCTGCTGTCAGTTATTTTACCATAATTTTAGAGTGGAAATTTTCAAAGTGTATATTACAGTGGAAATAATAAGAGTTTAAAATTATCGGAAATTAGGATGCGTATATACCGAGAAATCAGTACCCAAAATAATCATCCCTTACTTCCTTAACAGCATGTAAACATATAAGCATGCAGTCAAACAGAAAAAGTATGGCATTTTCAAGTACCACTGATCATATAGTTTCAGGAATATTCCACAGTTCATCTACAGTGCTGAATGGTGAGAGATGATATGCCTATCATTTATTACAAGTTTTTTGATTTATATAACAAGTACAAGTATTACAAGTACTACATTTTACCTAATTCGGATATAGGAATTTCAAATCTGAACTTAGTTTTGATTGTAAAGTGACAGATTTTATTTCAAAATGATATTTTTAATTCAGTTTATTTTTTGTATCACTGTACAAGCTTATAAGGAAAATTTTGGTTTATATATATACATTTACAACTGGAAAATAACGCTTAGGCAAAAAAACATTTGGAATTAACCTATCACATCATAAACAGAAATGAATTACCTTCTCTCTACCACTCCCTAAGTAGCAGGAAAGTGTCGACACTTAGTATTCTTTTGAGTGCAGAACCTATCTTGCTTATAGAGANACAATAAAACTGTATAGTATCACCTGAAAATTCAGATTTTACATAGAATCTTATAGTGTGTCTAATAATTTGGCCAGAGACAGCATGAATTGGTTAACAACAAAATTTTAAGTACAATTTAAGTGGTTAACTAACTAAACTCCAGTTCAATTTCGATTCATAAATTACTTTCCTGGATCTCTTTATTTACTCAAACGATCTCTTCATTCGCAAGAATGTGATTTATTATTGCTATCATAACACGAATCTTTGCTTCGACAAAAGAATTATTATTTCTTCGAAATACGTCCAGCTTTATTCATTCATAAGAATAGTTTACTATCGTTTTCTTGACTACTGTCATTCATTTTTCTGAGTTATTGGTTTGTTTATTCCATGAGTGTTCAGTTATCCATGTACTCTACTATGCAGATGTACTCTCAAAGTTATTTCATTTATTTATTTTTTTAAATGGAAAGAATTAAAGGTGTTATTCGAAACACTTTTGCTCACAAAAATAAAAAAAAAAAACCTATAGTTGGAAAGTCTTAAACTTGAAGTGAAGCTATAAATTTAAATGGCATTAAAGCACGGATTATGCGTTTCTGATGCGTCGTTTTATTGCAGCCCCCTATTCATTTTTAATCTATGCATCGTTAAAATAGTTCGTTCATGCAGCGGAAGATACATAAATTATCATATGGTCGTTTCATGATTTCATAAATTATTTGGATTTGATTTGGAAAAACCGGTGAGGCTCAGGGGATAGAGTACTCGACTCTGAAGGAAGCGATCCAAGTTCGAATCTCTCGATACAAATTTTTCTCCAGGATCGCACTGACAGGGTGCGTAGCCAAAGGTTTCACCAAAAATAAGCACCAGTAATTTAAAACTGCACATTTGTTTGTTTTTAGATTTTTTTAAAAAAAATTTAATTTTACAGTATAAACTAAGGAAAGTCGATTTGAATTAAGTTACAATTTTCAAATTACCCTAAATCAAATTTTTTTTTAATCAAAAATTCCAAAAACAGGATTATTTATTAACAATATAGTTTGAAAAATGCTGATTGCAAAATTGTGTTAATAAAATTTCATCAAAAAAATAAATAAATATTCTTAAATGCATCAAATTGTGATTAAATTGTGACGGTCTCGTATTTTGTTGCATGTTTCGTAAGATACTGCTGAATAGAATAAACAGCCACCATCAGTGTACTTGTGAAAATCATGTCGAACGCAACAGCGATGCGAAACACGATTTTTCTCCTCTGTTGCAGTGAATCTGTTGCACGTGATTTCAAGTACCTTCACGCCGCATGATACAAAATCTGCTCTGCTAGCATCATTTAAGCATGGACATTCTTGAACGAAATTGATAATATCTTCTGTCATGTGTTCAAGAAATTTTGCAACAGTCAATCACAAAGGTAAATTAACTATAGAGGAAGATGGAAGTAAATTTCAAGATTTTCGCTATACAGGGAATTGTGGGTAGCGAGTTTAAACAAATCTGAGTGGCTCCCGGGTCTCTGCAACAGCGACGAAAATTAAACTCAATTCAATTCTGGAAACCAGGGTGACGGCGATCGCTAGCAGTTGCAACAAAGGGAGAGGGGAAGAAGTGCGCATGCGTAAAATCTCTGTAACATGCGATTTGTTGCTGTTGCAGACGGTATGAAGACTCCTTAAGGCAAAGAACGTAAAAATGAGAAGTCCGGTTCTTTGAATACGTAACTAACGCGGGCACTGCTGGGTGTGGTGTACGCTATACCATGAAAACAAGAACACAACCTCATGTGTACTAAGATCCAGCGCATGCGCATAAAAAGCGAAGTGACAGTCAGGCGGTACGTCATGAGTGAAGCTGCTGTTGGACAACTATACATACATTATTGGGTACGCTGTCAACAGCCCTTTTATTCTTCCTTTCTATTTCAAAATGTGTAAGCAGATTCAATTACCATGGATGATATAAATGTATTTTCAAAGACATATCTTAATTAATAGTACAGACCTGTTAATAAATAATACATTGCTGTACATTAATATGTGTAAAAATGCGGAACAAACCAACAGTAAACGAAAAGAAAAAACTTCTTCACCTCAACCCTTCCCTAACCCCAGTAGTGGTTGGGAGGAGAGGAGGGTGCAAAACTTCTGCTGTTGTGCTCCTTACTGCTGTTTTTTTCCTTTATACACAGGGACCGCGCCTAAACTTGGGGAACTGGTTTACATTATGCCTATGGAAGCTAGACTTCTTCCCCTATGTATATTACTTAGCATTATTAAAACTATAGCTCTAAATTGTTATGCAATCCGCGAAAAATAATAAGCCTTATAGAGATGGTTAAATTGAAGCCACTTCACTGACATGCCTACAGAAAATTCCTCAATATTCAATGATCAATGAATTGATTGAATGATAATACCCAATTGATATCATTCAAATTCTCGCCAGGACAAATTCTATTAAATTAAAATAGCACAGCTTGTTTGAACATATGAATACTTTTAAATTTTTTTTATCATATACAGGTCAGCGATTTCTTAGATCTTTATTGCCAACAGGAGAAATGACCATATTTCCTAAATTCTATGACCATAAGAGCTTACATAATACAGATAGATGATGGAGATTTTTAATTAAGTAAAGGAACGGAAGTCAAGCTGTGAAACTGGTTTTTAAACTTTTTGCAGTTTGTTTACCCATGGCTGTACAGCCATCTGCTATTTTTCAAACATTGGTACATTGCCACTTTTGAATGTTATTGTTCCATCTATTTGCGGCATAACTACTACTATAAATATTGAATACCAAATCACTTGTATATAAGACATGTTAACTTGATTCCATCGTGAGGTACCTTTTGATAGATGAAGGTTGACATAATCGATATATAGTTCCCTCATATCTACATCAGATCTGTATGAAAACTACAAATGAGTTATTTTTAACTTACAAATTCAAACTCGCGTGATATAATTTTGAAAATAGACATAAGTCATCCTTGTGTGACAAGTACTTCTAACGTTTATCCTTAGAGCATCTCATACGGGAACACTCTGAGATGTTTATGGAGAATTTTGTCAAACATCCATCTTTCCAGATGCAGTATTACCAGATTTACCCCCTCCCTTTACTACGTGATTGTGAAGAGTTTCATACAATTCTTTGATATTTTCCGTAGATACTTATTTTAAGAAAAATTCTACCCTAACATCATATTTACCTTTTTATACTCTTTGTATATAAAATAAGGATCTCTAAATTACGCGATATCCCTACTCTCAACACTTTCTTCCTCTCTGTTACCATAGTTTCGGCTAATCTTGTTTTTTTTTTCTTCCAAACAGCAGGACGCTTCCATAAGTAGTTTCAATTTACTTGAGGAGGGGAAAATGTGGAGAGTGGAGAAATCATGTAACCTTAAGACACCTAGAATTCAAAACACTGCTGTAAAAAATAGGAATTTGACTTACGAGATGACCTTCAACGAAAGGGGCGTCGACCATTTCGCTGCCTATACTCCACCTTCTATCTTCATGGGATCTGTGCCTGGGTCGTCTGTCATCAGGGTTGACCCCTTCACCGCCACTACTGTGCCTCCTAAACGTGGTCCTCCTCATTCGAGTAGCTTGATTGCCATCTCTTAGGCTAGTCACTGCGTCAAAAGATCTCCTCATCATGGGCCGAGGACTTGTCCGCCACTGACGAGAAGGACTCGGTTTACGTTGAAGGGATTTTATTTCGAGGTTCATGGAATCTCGTGAACCTGTTGATACTCTGGAAAGAATAAACAAATTTATATTAATGTGTTTAGCATAACACAAAAAAATATTAATTATATAATAAATTTAAGAAGAGGTTTATCGAATCTCATGATCCTGTAGATACTCAGAAACGAATAAACAAATTTATATTAACGTTTGACATAGAACAATAAAATATTATGTTATAAATTTATAAAGAGGTTTATAGAATCTCATAAACCTGTAGACACTCAAGAATGAATAAACAAATTTATATTAACGTTTGACATAAAACAATAAAATATTACGTTATAAATTTATAAAGAGGTTTATAGAATCTCCTAAACCTGTAGACACTCAAGAATAAATAAACAAATTTATATTAACGTTTGACATAAAACAATGAAATATTACGTAATAAATTTATAAAGAGGTTTATAGACTCTCATAAACCTGTAGACACTCAAGAATGAATAAACAAATTTATATTAACGTTTGACATAAAACAATAAAATATTACGTAATAAATTTATAAAGAAGTACATAGAATCTTGTTAACCTGCCTATTCTCTGGAATGAATAAATAAATTAACATTAATGTTTGGAATAAAATGATATATAATAAATTATTAAATAGGTTTAAGGAATCACGTGAATTTGTGGATATTCCAGAACGGATAAACAAACTTATATTAATGTTTGTCATAAAGCAGTTAAATTTTAATCTAATTTTATATACCTATCAGAGCTGACTCTCGATATACGAAATCTTTCGTTCAAACGAATACGATTTTTTTTAAACATGAAATCGTTATATCTGAGTGCACAAAAGTACTATAAATATTTACGCATAACTCTAGAATTAACAGCTCAATATACCTTATGAAAAAAATCTAATAAGTCCCTGTTATTCTTGCTTCATTCAAGAAGAAATCGAGATATTTATTCACACTTATTGTGCAGTGACATCAAAAGAAATGGTGGTTAATGTAATTTATTTCGAACTTTCGTTAAATCAAATGACTCATTGTCAAAGGAAGCATTTTGGTTTTGAACAATATAATGATTTGATATAAATTTTTAAAGTGGTTTTCACAGGAATAAAAACGAAAATTGAAATAAATTTCGATCACTTCGTGGAAAGGAACGTTCAATGCGGAATTTCAAAGGATTGCACATAGCATCTATGGAATATAAAATCGGCCGTTATTATAGAAAAGTCGCTGTCAGCCGAGAGTGGAATTAACTAGTTTTTTTAACCGGATAAGTTGCTTATAATAATCACCTTTAAGTCCCTTGCACCCCCAAATGAGATGAACCAGGTTCGAATCCATGAGTACAATTCTTATGATTCCATCCATCCGTGAATTAAAACAATTTAATGTCTTCTCCTCTACTGCTACCAAAATGCATGTTGGGAGTCACGGTTGCTCAGTGTATAAACGTTTGCTTCTCAATGAGGTGATCAAGGTTCGAATCCAAGCGGTGGCTGGTTGATACGAATTCTGTTCCCGGACAGCATCAGCCACAGTGCTGAGTGGTATCCTCAGTGGTAGACGAATCATGGGTTAAAATCCCATTGTGGTAACCTTGGGAAGTTTTCGAGGTTTACCTCTTCATAGAACGCAAATGCAGGTTAGTTCCATCAAAAAGTTCCCCACGAAAGCAAATTTCTCCCAATGCATCATACAAAAGTTCTTTTATCTTTTGTGATTGGGTTCAAAATTACAATGCTATGGAGTTGAGCATTGATAGTCGTAAACTCAAAATTAGGTCGGCTGTTCAACGTCAGTTCTAAAATAAAATTAATCAAGCAAACTTGCTCTTCTTAATCTCGCATTCGTTGCTATTAATTTATCAAGTTTTTATAGTGTCCGTGGGCATAAGGATGATTACACCTGATCTATAGTGTTATCGAAATTCAATACATCCCTGCATATTGATCTATAAATTGCCTGTATTTTAATTGTTTTAAATCTATAACATCATCATAACAACGCAATACTCTGTCTCACCAAAATCGATTATAGAAATTTTAACATTGAAATTATTGACTAGAAAAGAAAATCTAAACGCCACGTGCCAATTAAGGTCAAAAAACGCAGAGTTATAAAGTAAACATACCAAGAGTTTTCCTATAACTTTAGCAAAAGAAATAAGCGCGTTTATACTTTGGAAGAAATCACAGAATTCTAATCAATGACTGCATCGACGCATCATCCAATCTCTTCAAAGGAAAAATTCGAAAGAAAAAAAAATATATCTTAGTTTCAAACAAATATTTTCTTCCTTTTACTAGCTTTCGATTTAAACAAAACTTCTAACAACGTAATGGAAAATATTTCTTCCTTGGCGACCATTTATTTCGGGTATCAGACAGAAAAAGCTTTTAAATTACTTTCGGAATTAATTAAGAGACAATTTATAATAATCAGTTCGAAAAGCTTTTTAAATAAATGCATATTTAGATTTTTGGAATTAATTCAACTTGAATTAATTGAAAATTTTTAGTAGAATGTTTGTAATGGCAAGTATGTGCTGCCAAAAAATAACGTAATAAAATAAATAAAAATTTTATGATAATATTCTTTATGGATTGTTAAAAAATAAATTTTATCGAATTTCAATAAGCACTTAAGAGCAGTGTCATAACCAAGAAGATACGGTAAAAAAAAAGAGCTACTGAATATCGAAATTTTATTTAACAATTTTTTTCATAAATTTGTTTCTATAAATATTTTTAAATTGATAGCAAGCGATTATAAACAGCACTAACGTTAACAGCAGCTAATTTTGAATTCCATTGGTACTTATATTACATGCACTAAATATTCACTACTTATGCATTATAATTTTCTCCTTAAATAACACTAACAAGACAATAGCTCTTATCATCGAATTACTACATATCAACTACTTATGCAGTATAATTTTCTACTTAAATAACACGAACATCTATAAACAATAGCTCTTATCATCGAATTACTACTTATCAACTATTTATGCAGCATAATTTTCTACTTAAATAACACTAACAAGACAATAGCTCTTATCATCGAAATACTACTTTTCAACTACTTATGCAGTATAATTTTCTACTTAAATAACACTAACAAGACAATAGCTCTTATCATTGAATTACTACTTATCAACTACTTATGCAGTATAATTTTCTACTTAAATAACACTAACAAGACAATAGCTCTTATCATCGAATTACTACTTATCAACTACTTATGAAATCTAATTTTCTACTTAAATAACACTAATAAGACAATAGCTCTTATCATCGAATTAATACTTATCAACTAGTTATGCAGTACTTCTTAAATAACACTAACAAGACAATAGCACTTATCATCGAAATACTACTTTTCAACTACTTATGCAGTATATTTTTCTACTTAAATAACTTTAACACGACAATAGCTCTTATCATCGAATTTTTGGACATCACCTTATCTTAAACAATAAATTTATGGGGAAAATAATAGACGTTGCATACGTTGCATTTTTGGACAATTCCATATTTGAATAAGGCGCGAATAAAACATAAATAAAGATGCAGAAATGGATATACCGTAGTTCTATAAACAAGATCCTTCATTAGTGTCTAAACACTAAATGATAGTATAACTGTAACGAGACAAATCAACACCTCCTAGAAGAAAGAAGGCCTTCGACGGGCTACCGTAAACTAAGAACTGGGAGATGAACTGTCCGCCATGATGAAGCAAACAAGTTCGCTAGCTACGTTGCGCTAACAAAACCGGGAGAGTTTAAAGCCAATTTAAATATTTAAAATAATTGATATGGGTAATTGTGCAGCGATGTATTGGGCAAATATTTAAAGAAAAAGATTTTCTAATGTTAAGATTTCCATCAGATCTCGAAAGAAAGAAGAAATGGGCCATAAATTTCAGAAGATATAATAGGCAGTCTGGTAGAGGAGTGCTCTTAAGTGAGGTAAATACTTTTTAATATTATACGTTCTTTAACATTATACGTTTGTCTATTAATATATATTTATTTTTGGTGTGTGTGTGCGTGTGCAAGTATATTGTGATAACTTCTGAATATTTTTTTTTCCTAAATGAATTAAAATCGGTTAGTTCAACAGATAAGAAATCTTAATTTCAAATGTTATCATATTACTAATATGCTCTGTTCTACTCTCACCTGCTTCCCTTTCTGCTTCCGTGTCCAAAGATTGTCCCATTAGCTAAATCCACACCACTGTCTTCGCTGGGTGTGTGCATATCCTCTGGATGTTCCCTCGCATTTGGAACAGTTAGGTGGTGCTTATCTTGCTGCTGCCTTCGTCTCGTGGAAGTACGAAAGTTGTTCCTGGAAGTTCTGAATATATCCTCCTATAGCACAATGAAAGACGCTCTGAATAAAACATTGTCTAATGTAATAAGTTTAAAAAAAATGAAATCACATAATGATAGGCCACTTATTTCACAACTCAAATTTATTACCTAGGGGTAAGACTGCATCTAAAAGAAGTATAAAAGATCGTTTGATTAATGTAGAAGATGTATAGGGGAATAGGAGACTAGTGTGGACATGGGTCAACATTTTGCATAACTTTTATATTTATTGGTCAAATTTCTTCCGTGAGATATCGTAGATTGGCAACATTGATGAACATTTCCATGTATAGTTGCATAATCATGCAGTGAATATAGGTTTTCTAAAGTGAAAAGGTTACTCTAAAATCTTCTCTGTTCTCGTTTATTAACATATTTTATTTGAAGAATTTCAACAAAATGTGATAATACGTAATAAATTATTCTGTTTTTTTTATCTGTTTTGATATTAACTATTGCTCTGTATAGCTTCTTTTAATCAGCATTACGTATAAACAAACACATGTCTTCGTGTCGGGAGACATGTTGTTCGTGGAGTTAGTGTCGACATAGATACATCGTCAAGCTAGTGTAGATATGTCGTAGTAGTAGTTTATTTACGTCACACAAGAGTTGCACAATGGGCTGTTGGCGACGGTCTGGGAAACATCACCGAAGATGATCCGAAGACATGCCATCACAATTTTGATCCTCTGCATAGGGGATGGCACCCCAGGTTCGATAGCCCGACGACCTGCGTTTGAAGTCGAGCACTTTACGGTAGAACAGTTTAACTAGGACCAATACCGCACTACCTCGATCTTTTCGTAGACTGATCCATGTGCTGACCAACCCGCACACTGTCCGCAGCCAGTGATGCTTGACTTTGGTGTTCCACTGGGTCTTAACGATCAGTCCACTGCGGGACAGTGTAGATTATGTAGTGTAATCACGAAGTTGAATGTGGCAGCTGCGGGCATTATGTCCATTCAATTTCCAATATGAGAAATAGGAATTGGTTACAAATGTAACAAATTCGATTTTATTTATTTACTGAATTAGAATGATTCTGTAGAATCATATACTTTTAAAAATAATGGTTTTAATCTCAAGTAAACAATTTAGCACAAAATCCTTATATTAATTCACTTTTAAAAGAGTTTGTTAATAAATTTAAAGGTTTGATAGTTTTATGAAGTTTGTCCAAATCATATAATTCAATATACATTTGCATGCAAAAGTCTCCGGGCCAGTATATTTTAATAATTTCTTTTGGCTGTTTATAAATATAATATAGAAAGATACATATACACCGTAAAAAACTTCCGGATCAAATTACCGTCAAAAGTAATGGAACTCAGGAAGCCGAGACTTTTTACTGAAAAATTCATTTTAGCCGGAACATGTAACGAAGCAAAAAAAAATAAGTATTATTGTGAAAATTACGATACAATATTTTACGGTAAAAATTGATTTTACGGTAAAATGAATTTTACAGTAAGATGATGCATCTAAAGCGCCGAGATTTGATCTTGACGTTCATACCGTCATTTGATCTGGAACTTTTTACAGGGTAGAAACTGCGCTGCATTAAAAGAAAAATAATTTTCATTTTATTTACATATTTTTTTGTGCGATCGAATTAAAACAACATAATAGTGGCTGGAGAATTTTGCAGGACTATGTAGATACTATCTTGACTTCATATTTAAATTTCCGTGATGTTATTAATGGCTACTTAATAAGTACTAGTAATAAGTAATCAAGTTTGTACAGACAAACCCCATAGCTTGTCCATGCATTGAAAAAGTATTTGGGCAAGTGTGGACAAAAACAAACTTTTTTTAAAAAAATAATTATTATTATGGAAAAACTCAAGAACTTTAAAATTCCATGCATNACTCTCAAAAGAAAGTATATGTATAACATTTCTTACATCAGGTGAAATATTCCGATCAGCATGTTCCGTATGTATTTCTACTGGTCTCAGATCTTTTGTCTGTAAAAAAGGAAAACGAAGCTTAAGAAAACGAAATTGATAACTATATATATATATATATATATATAAAAGCAATATAAACAATCGATATTTATACTATTATGTTTTAAACTTGATAGCTGAAATTAAATTAAATTTTGTCTATAAAAAGTTTCTGTAAAATATAAACTTGTGTTTTTTGTCATTATACAGAACTAATTTTGATTATTTTACCGACATTTTCAGTTAGAAAGAAAAGACAAGAACCCTGACTTTAAAAATATATATATATAATTTCTAAATCAGTTATATGACATATTACCGACTGCAAAAATCAATTTCAAAAAATAAGAAGGAACCAGCCGTTTTGCTTTGTTAACTGGTTATTTATTCTAAGTTTCAAAACTAGTTACAAAGTGTACCAATAGCTGAGTAGAAAAAAAATTTGCAAAAGCATGTTCTGATGCATGCCCATTCCAAATAAAAGTTTCTCTACTGGCGTACGTAATTTTGTCCTCAGTTATTGAGCCATGTTTTTAAGACTGATGATTGAAAATTTTGAAAATAATGTTTTGACGTTTCTTTTTAGTAATTAGAGCCAACTGTTGGCAAACCTTGACGCCAATTTTGGAATTTGGAACTGAATGAGAAAAATTTCCATTCCGTAAGAAGACGCAGCATTTTTCTATCTCCTTTCGTTCTTTTCGAATTGATTTTTCAAACTATCGGGCATTTTTAAGATTTATTTGCTTATTTATTGAAAAAAAGTACAAAATATGAGCTAGTTTTAAAGTTCAATACGATGCGTAGGCACAAATACTCATTGAAAAAAACAACTTACTAGTCTTATAAATATATGGTAATAAAATAAGCAATATTTTACGATACCAAACAAAAAAAATACCTTATGAAAGGTACCTAGTTGATGATAGAAACACCACAGAGTTGGAGGCTCAGGAGAATATTTTTGAAGAAGAGTAATGCTACTCAAATATTTACTGAACACAAAGATTTCTCATTTAAGAATCAAAATATTCATGAATGTCTGCAACTGTTTGAATAATGCTTTTTTTTTTTTTATAACGCATTGCATTTATTATTTCATAAATATATTACAAGAAACTTTAAGTAGTTTCTTTTTTGAAGAATTTTGAATATTTTATGGTTGAGAAAAAGCCTTTTTTTTCATTGCAAAAATAAAAATAAAACTTTATTTTTAGTCTTTCAGTCTGGTTAAAAACCCAGAGGATAGAGCGCTCGCCTTCCAATGAGGCGAACCGGGTTCGAATCCCAGTCGATACCAATTTCGCATCCAGCTTGCACCGACCACAGTGCTGACATGAAATATTCTCAGTGGTAGACGGATCACGGGTTAGAGTCCCCTTGCCGTCAGGCTAACCGTGGAAGGTCCTCGTGGTCTTCCTCTTCATGTAACGCAAATGCGGGTAAGCTCCATCAAAAAGTCCTCCACGAAGGCAAACTCTCTTCCAATACTCGATCCAGGAGTTCCTTTGGGTTCAAAATTACAAGGCTACGGAGTTGAATATTAGTAGTAGTAAACCCATAAAATTGGGTCGGCTGTGCAACGACGGTTATAATATAAAATAAAATAAAGCTTTAAAAAACATTGCAAATTATTTACGGTTTTCAGTATCAAATTCAATGTTGCCATTAAAAAAATCAACGCAACAAGTGAACAAAAAATATTTCACTCTAAATAACTTTTGTTCTAATAGTTGGAGTATCAACAATTAAAAGAAACCCTGAATGGTTCAAGTAAGTATCCTTAAATATACAAATTAATTAGTTCTAAAAATTCATTAATTTGACAGATCAGTTTTAAAAACGTACTTCTCTTTGAATAAACATAACCCTTTCTTCGACATATTTGAATTCCTGATTATTAAAAAAAAGGGTGCTTGCCCCAACTTGGAAAATGTGGTCTTAATAATTCAGACAGGAGTATGTTTGAAATTTTAGATTGCTGAATGTAAAATTTCTCTTCTTGAGTATTTCCATATCGTGAGAAATTTTTAAGACAATTGAAACTTTCTGCATTTAATTATTAAATACATTTATTTAAAGACAATTCACGTAACGTAATAATTTTTAATAACTGTTTCGAATTATTTTATTGAAAATAATATTTTATTATCAGTAAAAAAAAAACTGAATTGTAAGGATTACAATTTTTAGAAAATTTTTAAGTTCATAATTTCAAATGATATAAATTTTAAAAAAATGAGTTTAATAGGTTTCATAATTTCGAATTATAAAATTTTTAATAAGTAGTATTTTAAATTTTTTTACTTATCCTGAATTATTTAATTGACTGGTTGCACAAACAATAAATCATATATTTGCAAATCAATTGATAACAAAATTTTGATGGCATGTTTACGCAATTTTCTGATCATTTTATGAACTACATGAAAGATAAAGAAATTGTACATTGATTGGTATATTAAATTCAGGATGTTTCACAATTACCACATTTAATGTAGGCTTACTGAAAAATCCATCTTCTTGAATACGTCTCCGGCAATTTGCAATACACCAAGCTAATTAGAAAAGTCTATTTCCTGATAGTAATCTGCCCGGTACTTTTTAGGCATTGCAATCACAGTACGGGCCTTTAGATTAATGAAGAATTAACTCAAGAATAAACTTAAAAAACTCAAGACTAAAAAAAAAGACTGAAAAATAACTCAAGACTAAAAAAAGACTGAAAAATAACTCAAGACTAAACGAAAAAAATTAAAAATAACTCAAGACTGAACTTGCATAACCTTATTGTAATAAACTTTCAGTAAAGCTACTTACTATTGGACTTCACAACTATAACTTAATGCCAATTGTCTGAAATAAATCAGGCTAATTGAGCAATAAATGTTATATTTTCTAATTAGCCTAAAATTACACTGACTCATTGAAATATATCTAGTGCATATTAGGCTATTCACTATAAGACTTCATTATTGAGAGAGAATCTTCGAGGTCTGCTCCAAATGTGAAACTGAGCAGGCTTCTCCCGAACACATCCTGGACTGTTTGGGACTTTCCAGAGAGGGCATATACTTATCCCCCCTTCTGGTCCTCGATTTCCTTAGGGTCAACGGTCTGATGGAACGTGTCTGACTTCATCAGGCATTGGAGGATAAGACACAACAACAACATTATTATGGCTTATTACAAATTGCCAGAAATAAATCAGGCTAATTGAACAGTGAATGTTGCATTTTTTAGTTAGTCTAACAGTAAATTGAATCAATGAAATATATCTAAAACCTAATAAGCTGTTCACTATAAGACTTCATTATTATAGCTTATTACAAATTGCCTGAAATCACTGTAATTTATAGATGAGTGATACACTTTCTAATTAGCCTAAAAGTACACGCATTGAATTAAATAAGTCTAAATAGCATTATGCTACCTAGAACATTTGGTGACTTTTCCATCTTGTCTGGCGCATTGCAAAATTTCAGTGGCTGTTTTAAAAAGCCCGATTATTCAATTAGCCTAGAACAAATATTTTTAAAAATTCTATTAGAAAATGATATTGAAAAGTATGGATGCTAGATGTTAAAATTAATATTTTAATGGTAAGATGTTATCATAATTTGTAATTTAGCAAATTTGCATAAAATTCAACCATTAGATGAGCGAATTAAAAAACCGCCAAAGTAATTTAACTATTGGATATAAATGAACGACTGTTAAAGGTGATAATAAGTAGTGTTTCTCAGTTTAATACAGCACTTAAGCTGATTTTGGTACCTTTAAACTCTCAAAAGAAAGTATGGTCAAAACAACAAGAATATGGTAAAATTCACCGTGCTTTTCCCTTCATAAGAGCACCAAAACGCTCGGTAACTGTAACCGAAGCACTTTGGTAAGGATTTCGGTTAAATTAAGAGCAAAATATAGTTTTATACTATAAGACAAAATTTGGAAAAGTTTGGTAATTTCATCATGATACATAAGATAGGAATGTATCCTCAATTTAACGAGATTATGATATTTTTAACCTTTCCTCCCTTTTTATAGATTCCTCAGTTTTAATAGTTCTTAATTATAAAACAATATAAAACAAAATGTTAAAATATATATGATGTCAATTTCCTGCTTTTCTCATATATTTTATTTCAGATTAAAAATATGAATTTTGATAATATTTTTCTGGAATTTAAAAATTAATTGGAGTGCAGAAAGCAAAGAAACTTTCAGATGACAAAATTACAACTTTCTCAAAAGTTTTTAATCTAAGATTAAAGAGGAGGCGTCGAAACTACGAACATAAAAACGCGTAGTTTTGAAGTTTCCTGAAACTTTTATAATCCAATAAGTCTTAAAAGCAGTTTCCTCGTTGATTTAAAAAATGAAATTGTCTCTTAGAATATTGACATGTTTTATTTTTTGTTTAATTTCACTAACAAGTTTTTTTTATGCATCGTAGTTGGTATACGCCTGATGGTAATCCCATATATTTTTTTTAAACTTCTCTCGTACGAAAACATTGTAGCAAATAAACATTTTTTATCTTTTGATTCAAGTTTCACTTGTATATTTAGGTAATTTTTTTAAGACTTGTTTCAAGTTTTGCTAACCATAAAATTATCTATCTATCCATATATATATTCTAGACTACATAACTACATTTTAAATTAAGTTAAAAAAGCGAACAAAGTTTTACATGGATCGACTTGTTAGCTTGTTAAACATCAACATACCTATTTAATTAGCGTTTCAAATGTATTTAAATATATATAACTGCAGTTAAGGATGTAAAATTAATTAAGTATCTCAGAATCGTGATATTAAACTGATTTCTAAAACTCAATACCTGAGCACCATAATTTGTGTAAAAGTTTCTACCAATAGTAGAAGCGCGTATCAGTTTTGAGTAAATTAGGCTTTACTAGGAGGCTCCGCCCCCTGCTCGCTAACGCTCGCCAACCCCCGAGGATTGCTACGCAATCCTATGTGGTTCACGCCGTGAACCATGGCTCGCTGCGCTCGCTCGCCAATGAACACAATGTTCTAGCACAAAGACATAATATATTATCATCAAAGACATAGTATTTTATCATCAAAGACATAGTATTGTACTTATGTAGAAGAATTCTACCAATGTTCTTATTGGCTTTTAAAAAAGTATATTAGCTATTTAGATTG